AAACGCCCATACCTTTCTTTCAAGAGACATAACTTTTATGACTAAAACCGTGCTAAATAAGCAATACAACGATTTTCAAAGAACAAACAGAACAGACTCTAACATAAATCCCTCTCAGTTGAAAGAGCTAATTTGAAAAAAATGCAATAAAATACGTGTAAGGTAAAAAATTTAAAATTTGTTAGAAGTATACATATACAGGGTGAATCAAAATTGGCGTAATTCCTCTGGAGGAAGAAAAAAATTAAATGTTATTAAAAACTGAGATATTTACAAAAAACTAGATCAGAAGGATGGCAACAACTTTGTTCAAGGTAATCTGCCTAATTAACATTATGTAAATACCTGTTYCTTCGTAATTATTCAAAACTCCGGTAACCATGGATAAACATGAACCAAAAAAAATGAAAGAGACAATAACATATGTTGAGGTTAGGATAACRGTGTCCMCTTGCGGTCAGTGCTGCGACAAAACAGCCCCTCGAGWGATGTCATCTTTTGGGGCCAATTAGTGCTATACCTAAATCGGTCACAACTGTCTTCCAAAACCACCTGTTAAAGGTTGTATTTCATTGATCAAGTAAAATAAAATTATGTTGTTAAAACACAAGAAGTGTTCCCAAGATCAAGAAGTCCTGCCCGTTTTACTCCACACATCTTTGTGTCCCGATCACTGTGAGTCTGGGCTCATATTTTGAGCAGCTTCTCGTGTTCGCTTTATTAACTGCTGCTCAATTTGAACCGGTGATCGGAAGATCATAGATTTAATGTGTTCTGGTGTCCTGTGCATATTACATACATGGTAGGAATGTAGGCCCTTCAACGGGGGAGTTGTTGGAACAATTAAGTATCTAGTACTCCTGGAAGGCTCAGCTGCAATAATCTCTAATACCTGTTCCTGTAGGTCTGGAAACCGAGCACTTTTAGATTGTCCACTATCTGCGTCCATTTCTGGCCACTCTTACAGTATGTAGCTCTTTGCTGGTGCAAGTTCTTACAGCTTCTGCTATGTTACTGTGGCATATTCCCATTACTAATCGCTTATTCACAAATTCGCTGTTGGCTTATATTTTGTGAAAGGAGCTCCAAAATAAGCCACAGTTTGACAAATGCTTATTATTATTGACAAAGGCTGTCTACCTGTAACTATATGTTATTGACAAAAAACATCATTGCCGCTTTGACTTTTCATCAGAAAATTGTAGAAGAGTATTTTTTTATTATAAAAAAATTTCGTAATTTGACAAAAAATCGTAATTTTTTTTTCGATTGCTCAAGTATTCCAATATGCTTTCAATTAAACATGGAAGACTTTCAAAATAATACTTAATAACAAAGTTGAAATTCGATCTTCAACTGTCAATATCTTCTTGAAATTTTGGAAAAAAATGCTTCTATATTTTTTTTCGTACTCTCTAAGTGGCCCCCTATACGGACTCTCGTCGCCGCTTATATAGTTTTCTCCAGGTAACCCAGACGGTTCTCGAAATCTCCKGACCAGGTGCGAAATTTCCCGCTTGTCAGTGTCATATTTGACAGTAAATGGGGCGCAAATGGGGCTCCCATTTACTGACATGCCACGAATTTTGATCCCCCCATTCCAATCGTGAGTACCCCAGGTCATTTGCGTTATAATATTAACAGTTGAAGATCGAATTTCAACTTTGTTATTAAACATTATTTTGAAATTGTTCCATGTTTAATTGGTAGTATATTGGAATACTTAAGCAGTCAAAAAGAAAAATTACGATCTTTGCTTCAAATTACGAAAATTTTTTATATCAAAAAGTTCTCTTCTGCAATTTTTTGACGAAAAGGCACAGCGGCAATGATGTTTTTTTGCCATTAACAGATAGTTACAGGTGGATAGCCCTTGTCAATAATAACAATAAGTTGTCAAACTGTGACTTACTTTGAATTTCCTTTCACGAATTTGCGGATATGCGATTAGTTCAGGGGAAATGCTACAGTAACATAG